TATAAATAGAAAAGTTAAATTCTTATGTACTTCAGGATCAAGTTTTGACTCTGTTGCAAAGTACGAAGATATAAGTGAAAATATAATTAAATTGTTGTTACACTATTTCATATAAGCACTTTTGGTAAATCGGGGATCAAGTTTTTAGCACTGTTGCCGAGGATTAAAATCTTCAAGTAGTGGTGCCAACTTCATAAATCCTTACGTATAAAGAAAATTTGGGATCAAGTTTTTGTCACCGTTGTCGGGGAAAAATTAAAAATTAATTGATTTAAAAGCAAAATTCTATTTTTAGATAGTCATATTTAAACTTTAAATTATTGTATCTAATTTTGTGTGTGTTTTATTTTTATTTTATTTTATGTTAAGTGTATGCGTAGTTTAGGTTCCGAAGGACTAGTGCCCTATGATTCTGAATTAGAGAGAGCTGTTAAGAAAATTAGAAAAACCAACAACATCAAAAATCTTTAAAAATAAAAAAAATTATAGAAATGACAACCCAAAAAGATCAAAATGTTTAAATTCATCAAGAGTTTAGACCTTTACGAGATTATGTCAACCCTACGGTAGATGAACTTCATTGTAGTATTCAAAAACCTATTGTAGTGGTTAATTCATTTGAGCTTAAACATGGTATTATCTAAATGGTATCAAATAATCAGTTAAGGAGATCACCAACTAAAGATCCAAATTTATATATTGCCAATTTTCTAGAATTGTGTGTTACATTTAAATATGATGGTGTATCAGATGATGCCATAAGACTCAGTATGCAGCATCCTCGTGTATGCCGATTTTATGTATCAAAACAATTGTAGATAGCCTTTAATGAAACATTCTTGTCCTTCGTGCAATTATTTAATACACTAGTGTAATGATGATGGGACAATTTTATGCTCATGAAGTCATGGTGGACCAAACAAAGCATTGAAGGACATTTCTAAGCCTATGATATGGAATTTTACCGCTGTCACCAAGTCATCAATTTTTAGGAGTAGTATGATTGACCCTACGACTCTTTCTCTTTGTTGATTGAAACTACGTAACATGTTCTTGTCCATTGTTAGTCTACGGGCAGTGATATCCAAATAAGTACGTGTCCTCAAGTTTATAATGTTGATTGAAGCACGGGATCAATTAGAACCCTTGAAAGCATGGTGTTCTAAACATTTATTGATATGTGCAGTGGGTGATTATGTTTGGTTGTTCTTAATAATAAGTCATTATCAGAGAATATGACCTTCGCTAGAACATCCAATGAATAAGCCTCCTCTGAGAAAATGTTAGCAAATTGAGCCAGGTGGACCTCAGGATCTAATAGAGCTTTAATTAATGATTTCTTCATTTCTTTAGAGAGAATGGGGCATCATAAATTCTCAATTTTGCTGGTAATTTCCTCAAATGTGATAGAATGTTGTTCTCCACTTTACTTTGTGACTTGTCATTTTTTTTCATGAATTAATCTTTCTTGCACTGGTGGAACTGTATCTTATGGCACAACCATTTATTTTCTTTATCTTTCGGAGCTATTCTCGAATGTAGAATTTTTCCACTCTGTATATTAATTTCAGTTATTTCTTCTTGATCTTGTGCTGGAGGTAGAGTTCCTTATGAAAGTATTTCTTCCAACTCTTTCATCTCGAAGTATGATGATTCCAATACTATGAAAATTTGCACTCCTTATAGTTCTAATGTGACTGGATCGCCTTCATTTTACTGTCATTAAGAATATTTTTGTTGCTAATGTCATCATGGCTATTTTCGAACCCATCAAGATCGTGTATGATTTGAGAACTATTTACAGGATCAAAATTTGATTCATTATCAGAAATAGACAAAATGTAAGTAAAATTAAGGTTCTGCATTAATTGTCTCTGAAGGGACAAAGAAGAAATCATACAAATTCAACAGTCCAAAAGATGTCTTCCCTTGGTTTGTGACAACTAGTCTAGTATCATAAGTAAAAGTAGAAGGAATATAAGAAGTGGAAGGTACAATGGAAGTAACAACTCCTATACTACGATGAACTCCAATCCTTTTATTCTCATTTTCTTCTTTCTTTTTCTTTTCTTTTCTTAGCGATAGGAGATGTTTTGTTGTCAGTGTTGAAGCTAAAGTTGTCGTCATCTTGTTAAAAATCTTCTTATAAGAATTCAACCATACTATTTCCCATCCATCTTCAGCTTTGTAGGGGTCAACAAGAACAAATTCATCAACCTAAATCACATTGATCGAACCCTTTTCGGGCTTTTTCAAATATTCTTTTGGGATAACTATGTTCCCTGCCTTAAAGTTGTACTCTAACCAATCCTTGAAGACAAAGCAGTCTTCAATCTTGTGCCCAAGCATCCTGTGATAGAAATAGTATTTAGGTTACAAGTCCAGTAAATGTTATTTGTGGTATTTTCTTTCCTTTAGACTAGTGTTTTGATTTTTCACCTCTTCTAGTGGACTTCAATTTTGTTTTAGGATTCTAAGGTTTTTCATTTAGTTACGACATAAAACCTCAAGTTTTAGGCTTTTCTAACGATTGTATATCATGCATTCTAAGTCCTAACTTTCTAATAAGATGTCAGGATAAAACATAGAATAAGTATCTTTTTCAAAACTGGTAAAACCAAATAATAGGATAGTTGAGTTGTCATTGGGTTTCATAGTATCTTTGACATGCATCTCCTACTCTTCTTCCTTTGTATTTCATTAATAATCGTTTCACTTTTGAGTCTTTCTACTTTAAAATTTTTTATAATCAATTATGAAAATTTAAACTAGCAATTTTCTCAAAGACAAAATCACAACCTTAATTGAGAGTTTTCTCATGTGAATTCAATTGTTTAAGATTTAATTAACCATATAGGTTTGCCCTTATAAGAAGTTTAGACCCCAAATTTCATCTAAACGCTATATAGTTTTTGGATTAAGTAGCTGAAAAATTTGTAGACCAATGTAAATACCCAATATTTCTCAATTAATGTAATTGAACACATCATAATGTGATATTTCTATCTCTTGAGATAATATACCTGTTTGATATTTAAATAATTAAATATTTTTCTTGGTATGGATCTATAAAGATACTCCCTACAACATGCTGAAAAACAAAATTGATAGCTCTTACTTGCTTGGAAGTGGCCAAATCAACTTTCCTAATAATTGATTAAGCTCGTAATAAAGTACTAGAAATATTTTGTATTTCTTGAGTCTAGGGTGTAGATCAGGATAAACCAAAATTTTTCTTGAAATGATTATCATAACCATACTTAAACAATGGATTTGGTGAATTTCTTGTTATTTTCAAGTTTGTTATATGATAATGGAAGTCTTGTTTACATATTCCTGATTATTTTCTGTAATATGGCTCCAATATTTCTTCTGAATTAGCCATTCAACTTTTTTCTTAAGTTGATGATATTATTGAATAGTATGACCATGACCTTGATGAAAGCGGCAGTATCCAAAAGGTTAGATTTCAAGCTAAGTTGAAGAGAGGGTCTTGTATGACTATTTTTTAGCTTAATATTTTAGTTATAAGTTCATGTTATGATAAAAATAAACTATTTGTCACCAGTGCAGGTTATCGAGCCTCTCTTAAATATTGAAGAATCTTATTTAAAATTCTCATGATAATCATAGGGTTTTCCAAAGAAGAGGTACTTATATATATTTGGGAAAACGAAAGTAGAGGTCTGGCAACTTTAACTTTTAGTTCATCCTCTAAAATTGTGGGTGTTGTAGTGGGAGGTTCTGTTGTTGCAAACATGATGCTTAGGAGTCATCGAAAAGGTGAGACTATTGTTACTACATATGACGCCAAATTGTTGTGTACTAGAAAGTTCTCAATGGAAGAGAAATCCTATACCTTACCTTAGTATAACTTTCTAATATACATATAGATAGAGATGTAAAAGAGAACTAGATTTTTTTTTTCTAGAATAACCCAAAAAAGAAAAAATTACTACGTCTGACCCAATCAAAGAATTCACTAGTAAATTGAAAGTATAAATGCTTACTCTTTTCTTAAATTAGGGAGGATGAGATTACAAAAAACTAACAAGCATAAATTTATTGTAATAGTTTAGCTATAATCCATAATTAAGCTGCAAGATATAATTAGTGGCCATAATAGCAGTAGTTAGCTACAAAAGTCATAATTAATGGTTGCAATGACCATAGTTGGCTATTTAAGCTGTAATTCATGGATACAACTGAAGCAATTGGTCGTGAAAATTCATGCTAGCGGTCAATGATGACCTTTGGTGGTTAGCAATGAATTCTAGTGATCGTTGGTAATTGTCGAGAATTTAAGAGTTAAACTTTAGTAGTTAGTTCACTCCATTCTCCTCCCTCCTTTATAGTTTTGAAGGGGAGTTTATATATCAGCTTAGAGAGAGTAATTTCATTAAATTTAGCCAGGATCTCGAAACACTCCATCTGATGGTTCACATTAATTCCCTTGATCTTAGATAATATTTTCAATATTTATGAGCCTTAACAACCTAAGAATTAGATATATATGGGCTCATTGGATTCTCTCATTAAGTCACTCTATTTGTTCATAATCATGCAAAATTTAGAGATTTTATAGTTTTCCTGTTAATGCACAAAATTTTTTGACAACACTTCATGTTACTGATTTGGGCTTATTTATACTAGAATTGGATCACATTCAACATCATTTGTTTCATCTTCTTGTGAGGTTAATTTTGACTATAAACTTGCCAAAATTAGGACTCAAGTGATGTTAAAATTGAATTTGTAATATTTTGTTACTCAACATGCATTGAGATTCATGCCAAATAAAAATTTTTTGAGGACGCATGATTATCCAAATTCTTACCCGCTAAAAAACATAAAAATATTTTGAATTTTTGAAAAACAAACATAAAAAATTTTACTAAGATTAAGTTTTCATCAATGGATCATAACTTATAAATTAAAAAAATAAACAACATTCATAACCCATGCAATCATGTAAAATTATGCCGTACTAGCAAAGCAAAATTTGTTGGAGGAATACGCCCTAGTCCCTCGCGCGCCGCCCGCGAAGTGAGTAATCAGTCACAAAACGTTATATAAAAAATCCGCTGTTCTGTTTGCGCTTCCCCGAAATGAAAAATACTCCTGAGGTCCTCGGGAGCTTTCCGATTCACTCCGGGCTTCATCTTCGCTCTCGATCTGTCAGTACGGGAGGGAAAGGTATTGTTTCTATCTCTGAATGTATTCTTGGCGAGGATTTCATCTATTGATGCGTTTTCACAGAACACGATTTATTATTCTATTTTTCTTCTTTGTGATGGTGGATTCAAGAGTTTGCGTCTGTATTTTTTTTTTCTTGTAATGCTGGCATGCTTCTTGAATTTAAATATAGAAATAATTTTTTACATGAGTTAGTTTGGGAATACTGGTCACCTGATTTATTAAATAAAAGATCTGAAAGGACCGGAAGTGGTGGTGGTAGTGTTGAAATTGTTGAATTTTTTGAGTTGTTTGGATTCTGAATTGTACTTTTTACATGGTTGAATACCGTGTGCTGGTTTTGAGCTGTTATTGAAACAGATTAGATGGTTTGATCGAGTCATGATCAGGCTTTGTATGCCTCGCCAACTTCCCTTAATTCAGATACTATGTATTTATCCGTAGTTCAAACCTGGATGGCTGTGAAATTTTTTTTCAAGAGTCATGTACGACGGATTGTTCATGTTAATTCACGGCCTGGGAGAAATCATACCACGTAAATTTTTGAAATATGACAAACCTGGATGGCTGTGAAATTTGTTTGCAAGTATCCTTTACACACTGTTGTTCTTCTTATGCTATGTACTGGAAGAAATCGTACCTATTGCTGCTTGGTTGAAGCTTTTAGCATATATTTAAGGGGATGATAAAAATATTTTATTTGAATTTATTTTCTGTAGCATTCCTTGATTCAAATGCCGTCTTTTGAGAAATTGTTAACTCTGTTTCCATGTCTGAACATCTGATGCAGGAAGGCAAGGTGTGGGGTATTACATATGCTGACACCTCAGTTTCTCTGACAACTTTTGGGTTATTTAAACGCTAATGCGGTTCTCTTTCTACTGTTAATTGGATCCAAAGACATGCAAAGAGGCCAATTTCGAACAATAGAGACTTCTTCTTTAGTGTCTATGCTTTCTGAAGTGTTCATGGAGAACCTTCCCATGGAAGTTGTTGGTAACATTCTCTCGCATCTAGGAAATGCAAAGGAAGTTGTCATTGCCTCTTCGACATGCCGCAAATGGAGAGAATCATTCAGAAAACACCTCCATACCCTTTGCTTTTGCTCTCATGATTGCCCTATTTACCGCGACCTCACTACTAGACGGCTTGAAGTCATCATAACTGAGACTATATTCCAAACAGTCGGCCTTCAGTGCCTTTCACTTTGTATGGACTATGTACATGAATTCTCAGCTGCAGCTGTGATTGCTTGGCTCATGTATACTAGGGAAACCCTAAGGAGTCTGTCTTACAATATTCATACTGTGCCTACTGTTAACATTTTGGAGAAATGTAGTCGACAGAAGCTTGAGGTGTTAGAGTTGGACCACAATCCCATCTTCGGGGTTGAACCAAGCTACCAGAAATTTAATTCCTTAAGATCCTTTACCCTAAGACATGTTAGTGTCTCTGCTTTTGATATAAGCCTGCTCTTAGCTTCCTGTCCAAAGATAGAGACTCTCACCCTTGTTTCTCTGGAAATTATGACATCAGATTCACAATCATCCATGGAACTAAGCAGTCTAACATTGAGGAGCTTATATGCCAAAGCATTAAATGTTGATAAAATAGTTTTGGAGGCTGATAATTTGGAGACTTTGCACTTTTATTCATTAAATCTTGAAGTTTTTGAGCTAAATGCAAAAGGTGCCTTGAATAATATTAAACTTGATGATGTCAGTATTGTACATTTTGATGCTTGTGAAAGCATTGACCAATTGGAGGTCATAGATTTCAGCATCTCTACAATCTCATGGCCAAAATTTTACCAATTGGTTTTTAGGTCATCTAGACTTAGAACACTCCGGCTTTGGGGTGTCGTTTTTGTGGATGAGGATGAGATCATGGACTTAGAGAATCCTACTACTCGTTGTCCTCACCTTAAGCATCTTTGTTTGAGTTATGAGATAAGGGATGGCTTGTTTCATAATGGTTTACATGACTCATTATCTCTTGAGAATGTCACAACATTGGAACTGGGATGGTCAGTTATAAGTGAGCACTTTGGTCAATGGGTTTTTGGTATGGTTGATCAATGTCCTAACCTTAAGAATTTAGTCATCCATGGTGTTCTATCCGACCCCAAGACTCGTGAAGAATGCCAAATGCTTGCTAGTTTTACATCATCTGTAGTTTCTGTCATGAGGAAATACATGCATGTTGATGTGCGTTTTGAATATGCATGAGTGGATTCCTGCAAAGGTTCATATCTTTGTTCATCTTCAATTGTACAAAGACGCACTTTGAACTCAAGGTATGGCACAAAACCTTTTGTTTTTCTTTTATTTGAAGCAACATACCTGACCGTTATGCCCAATACTCAATCTTGCATGTTTTAATTGCTAAAAGCCTTTCTCTTATAACCACATCTGAAATATTAATAATATTATTTTTTTACAAGTTGTAGTATATACTACATAAATCAAGAGTTCACTTGCTTTTCATTGTTTCTTTTTTTTTTAAATGGTAGTTTTATTTCTGCACTATTCTTGTTGCTCTTAAGTGTCTTATGTTCCTGTTACGTCGGTCCCCTCTTAAATCGGCCTGGATCGGTCCGACTCAGTCCAATCCAACCAGGCCAGCTGGCTCAGCCAAGTCGGCTGGTTCAGCTTAGGGGGTGGAAATCTCATTTCTTCTTGGGATGATTCGAACCACTGAGTGGGGTGTGATAAACTCCTAATAATGTTTGCAATGAAATGGATTGGAGGAAAATTTTGAATATGTTTTGGGATATTTTATTAGGGCTAATCACAAAGGGCTTGCTTTATGTGTGGATTTATGTAGTTTTCTTTGTCTTCTTATTTATAGTGGTGTCTAGGACTTGTGGAGAGTCGATCTAGCTATCAAATTGTAGATCATCTCTTGTATCTTGTTTATTCAGAGTTTAATCAATTTAGTCTTAATTTGTGTTTTTCTGCATATTTCTTGCAATTTGTTCGCTTTTTTTTACTCTGATTCATATCAAAGAGGTATTAGAACGAGTTATTTGAGGGATGGTAGTAAGGAAAGTGGATGTTTTGGAAGAGGGATTAGAAGGAGAAGTATGCCAAATTAAATCCGGGATTAAGGAAATGCTTTTAACCGTAGGCTTGTTTTGAGTAGTAATTCTTTTGGAGTTTATGATAATGCTAAAATGATATATAGAACTTTGATATAAATGTTAGAAATATAAAAATATTATTGTTACAAAAATAATTATATTATATATTTCATTTTTTTTTCATTTTACAGTTAGTCGCCTAGAACATAAAGGGCATTCATATTGCTGATTGGTTGTGGCCACACAACCAAGTTTTGCATGAAATTGGGCTTGAACTGACATGACAATGAACAAAACATTATTTAAAGAAGCATGTAAGAAAATCCCATTGCCTGATTATGCTTTACCTTTGTTCTGATGGTTTTTGATCCCCCTTTCAAAACAACGTTAAGTTCTAATGTTTTTTAGGCTCCGTTTGTTGCAGCGGTGCGACGACAGTGCGACACTGTACTGCTGTTTTGGCCTTTTCGGTAAACTATATTTTTTCAATTTTTTCAAAAAGATGCTGCAAAAACCAGCGTTTTCTCACTAGGTGCAGGGGAGTTTTCTAATTGTAGTCTGACTTTTTCAAAAGAAAAAAAAAATATAACAGCCAGCGCAGTTTTTTACAATATCAGATTATTTTTCAGTAGCTTCACGCTAGCTTCTTAATATACTACAACTGCCTCAAACGAAGCCTTAGTCTACTTATGTATCCCAACTTTTGTTCTCCTTTTGCCCTCTTACATTCATAAACACACCCCAAATAGTTTTTATTTCATAGATGAGAATAAATGCGATGTGTAACCTTTGTTGATTGTAACTAGGTTAATTATTTAAAACTGCTCCTAGATTGGAAGCACCGATTAAAAATTTCTTGTACTGAAATCATGCATATTTAGAAGAATATATTGACAAGTATTTCCAAGTTGTACTCCACGGATTGATGCTGGAGGGTTGGAAAGGAAGAAACCACAATTGTTGGAAGAAGCCATGTATTCATGTTGCTGATTTGTCAGGGAAGAAGCCATTTATTGTTGTTGTTGTTGTTGTTGACCTGGGACAATAGAACCCACGTATCTTGCACATGAGGCTCTTTGCTAGTTTTAATTACTTTCTTGTTTTACTTTATTTTTTCCTATTCTAATTTTTATTTATTGTACCTAAGATGTTTTTCAATGACGTCTGAGAAGTGTGTGGCATCTCATTGATAATATCCTCTCTTAATGCCCTCCAATGGCCATAGCCAACGACAACTTGTATGTTTAAAAATATCTTCAGTGCATACTTTTCAATTGCGAGTGGCAAAATATATCAAAGTTCTCTTGGATTCATAATACATATCATATTACAAAACTCTTGCTATTTTAAACTATACATCGATAATATGACCGCATGAATCTTGAAGAAATTCAACGGATCTCGCTAAAAGGATACCAAAGGACTACATCGAGATAGTCAACAGATGGAGACGTCACATGTCGTTTTCTTTGGTCAGAACCATAGGCCGACTGAATGAAAGTACAGACAAACGAAAGAGCAGGAAACACCTGGTCCAAGGGACAACCATTTATAATTAGCTCCCTCAACCGATTCTGGGATTCTTTAGAAAGATGGTCAAAAGTGCATTTCATTGAATATCTGTCCAATTCCTTATGAAGACCCCTTATCCAAAGGAGAGTTGCCCGTCCGATTATAGTGATAAACCACCTTTCTAATGATCTAAGTTCACCCTAACGACAAGAAGACCTCTGCTGGGGATTCTCTCGAGAAGGCCGACCAAACAGTTATCAGACGACCGAATGCCAATATCAGTAGGCCTTTAGATGCCCCTTTTCAAACAATGATGAATGCGAAGCAGTGCCAATGTCAGTTATAGATATTAAATGGTCCCAGTGTCAGTTGTAAATGTGAAATTGTGTAATAATTATTTGTAGTGTCACTGTTAAAACAGGGATTAATATGTAACTTCACTAGATACCTCTATATCTATAAATAGGGATTATTCCTTTAAGAATGGACTACTAAATTCACACTCTGAGAACTTATGTGATTTTACTCTTTGTTTTTTTTATTTCTCTTTCTCAATTCTTCTTATTAGTCCAACGCTCTATCCATTGGGCATGATCCACAAGACATTTTTGGAATCAATATTCTAAAAGGTGCGATGAGCGTGAAATCATGTCATTATTAAGAAGAGAAGCGCGACACGGAGAAAAAACTCACTTTGGAGAAACTTCGAACTTGGAGTTCGATAAAGAATTTATACAACAACAAACTCAGGAACTCTACAACCAAAGGACGGAACAAAGGGCAGAACTGACTTGCGTTGTACTTGAGGGGAGAGCATAAGCTCCTCTAGAGCAAAACCCTCTAGGAGAAATCGAACCACAAGGCCATTAGACGGCTTAGGGGGCCAAAATAATTGAGAAATTCAAGTATCAGGACAATGTTGGGTCTATACCATGATTCGAACCACTAGGGGGCAAATTGACATTTACTGTCAACCGGAGAATGTGTTCTCTCGGCAGATCACGATGTTAATCCCCCCGAGAAGTTTAAAATTCATTTCCTTGAATTCTACAAGTGTCAAAGCATTCAACTGACCACATAGTATCCTTTGAGTTGGCTATGTGCCTTATCAAAATTTTCGACGCACTTAAGTGTCGGCTATTCCATACCACACCGAGGGATTCAACGCTCAGGTGGTTTAATGACCTCTCGACATAAACCTGTTTCAGTGATTTTAAGAAGCTATTTACAACGCAGTTCGCTAATGCCCAAATAGCCATCAAGGACTCAAAGGCCCTACGACACGTCAAGCAGGGGCCGAACGAGAGTCTACAAGTGTATGTCACTTGATTCCAGAAGGAGATATTGGAAGTACTGAATCTGGAGCATGTGGTAGCACAGGCTGCCCTGGCCCAAGTGTTAAGAAGTGCACAGTTCAATTACTTTTTGGGTTTACATCAACCCAACAATTTGGCCGAACTCTTGCGGTTGGCCTACAATCATGTCGCAACTGAGAAATATGTTGGCCCACCTTACAAAAATGGAAAAAAAATAAGACGGTTGTTCAGAAAGAAAAGGCTCGCGAGAAGATGAGTGAAGGGAGAAGGATAACCCATGCCCAGATGTGAAAGAGTCTGGTCGGCTAGTGGTGATAGAGCGGCCGACAGAAATTCCCGATGGTGGAGTCGAACTAGTGATCAGCTGACGACCGAGAATGCCAAAACCCACTCACTTGAGAAGTCATTCAAGATAAAAAGTACTTCAAATCGGCTCATTCAATGAGAATCAGTGCTCGTCTCCGGAACATGAGCAAGTATTGCAAATACCAGAAAGACCATGGTCATGATATGGAGGAGTGTAGTACCTTCGAAACTTGGTCGAAGAGTTGGTCCGAGCAGGAAAGTTCAAAGAGTTTGTGGCCCCATGGGCGCAAACCAAAGGCAAGAGAAATTCCCCGCGGAAGATGATTTGGAGGAGCTTGTCTGAGACACCGCTATCCACATCGCCTGGATATTGCCTGCAATCTTGGGAGGAGAATCGATCAGGAGGGCCGACCATAAGAGGCTCAGGATAGGAGAACTCTGTATTAGGATTATAGAACTTTCATATCTGCAAATTGAACCTTAAAACTAGGATTAGTAAACTAGAATTTCGTCCGTTATAAATATTTTGACACTTTACTCGTGGGATCGATATGCAGACTCATAATCTGTATATTACTTGATCGACATATATACTTGCATGATTGACCGACTTGCTTTACAACAATTTCAAACATCAGCATGTTTAAAAAATGATTTTCATTTATTAGAATGAAATGAGAATATGCAATTAATAGGACACAATGGAGAAAAAGATTCATGTAGTCAAGCCCACGTAGCGGGATAAAGGTTTGTTATTATTTTATTGTTGTATACTAATGTATTTATATAATAATGGTTTGATATAATTTATTTGCGCTTTGATTTATAAAAGCGCTGCTTCGTTTTGTGCTTTGCACTTTAAAGAGAAAATAAAGACTAGTGCATTGTATTGCACGTTGCGCTTTGATGACATTGCTATTAATAATTATTTTAAGGAATAAAATATATAAAAATAAAATAGGTTCCATTAAAGGGCAATGTGCCTTTTACTATAGCACAACTTATACATACAATTTTGAGATTGAGAAAATATCCTAAATTAGTCATTAATTGACTTGGACTCTCTAAACACAAAACCGTTATGAACTGTGCCTCCTAATTTGATTCCGGCAAAACTGGTTGAAAATTATTATTTGGTAGGCGCACATATGAAATCCCATGCATTGCTACATAATAGCGTGAGTATGCTGCTTCATGTTATGGGCGATATTGCATGTAGGGTTTTAACAAATCGAGCTAATCCAAGTTGAGTTAGAGGATCTCTGAGTTCGAGGACCAAAAAATACGTTCAAATTTGGTTTGAGCTCAGTTTGAGCTTTTGTAGTAGTGTTATTGTGGCACATGGAGTTGATTGAGGACAAAAGTTACTAGTTACTAGCTATCAAGCAAGAAAATTGTTGTAGCTAGTCAAGGGCCAAAAACTAGGAGTAAAATGTCGAAGTGTAATTTGGATTATTTTTCTTTTTACATATTTTATGATTGGATGTTAGATAATGTGTTTGTAATCGTGACATGATGTGCTATCTTCTGAAAATTTATACTTCAAAATGTGAAAATTTGGGCAAACTAGAAAATAATCTGAGTTATCAGATAGTGTAGAAGCAAAAATCCAACAGTGTGCTGGTCTTTTGGTTCAAAAGTCTTCCTGAGGTACTTGGAGCTGAAATTGAAGGAAAAATGAAATCTTCTTTGTGAAAATCAATGTGCCATTTGCTTTGTTAAGAATCTTATCCTTCATGGTATGACCAAAGATATTGAAATGTCCAAATTTTTAAAGAAAATTATGATGATAATAAAATGGTTTATACTCCAACCAAGACTTAAGTTGCTTACATATTAACTTGAGCGTTTCCATTAAAACTTTGAGGACCTATTTTCCAAGCTCGGAATGATTAATATATTCAATCCAATTTAATGGGGTGTGTGTGGAATGGAAGCCTCGATTAATGATTTTCTTTAATGCAACTCCTGTATAATTGGAAGAATATTTACAGCCATACGAATTCAGCTGCCCCACAAATATCTCTCTTAGATTCATGCTGCATTTTGTAATAACTTAGAAAGAGCCTTATGTGAAAGCAGAAAATTTGTTGATTAAATATCACCTTATATTTATAATTTGGATTTAGACTCTCCCGTCTATCCAAAATTTCTATTTAAATCATTTGGGAACTATGTTCTATGAGAACTAGGGAGTTAGGCTTAGAACTTTGCAAAAACATCCAAAGTCGTCGGTCTAAATAACCAGTCATTACTGTAGAGTTGCATCTAAACTGTTGCAAGTGAATTCTTCCAAGATGAAAACTTATCAGGGTAGATTAGCTGCTGAAGGTCACCGCCTCTGTATCATCTGCAGCTAAAAGACTGAACAAGGCAATGGGAGCAAAAGAGAAAAATAAAATTTTTTGTGGCAAGGACTTATTTTATTGGTAGGTCAAATAGTGGCATATGAGACTACAGCAGTATATGTGAAGAACAGAAGATTGGAATATAGATGGGATGCCTCAACTGTAGTTTCCACTATTCCCATCACTGCTTCGGCGGCTTCTATCTTTGAAAGTAGTTTTACCTTTTTTTTTGGTGCTCAAGTCAGTGAGCTTTTTTTACTAATATTATTACTGTTTCTTGGTTATTGTGGTGAATGTAGTGGTACCAGAAATCAGAATGTCCCCACCCCATCAAGGGAATATAACGCATTTATAAGAAGAATACATGGCCGGTGTACGTTTAATTACCGTGTTAAATTGAAGAAATTGACTAAATGGCAGAGAGCTGGCTTTGCATTCCATTTAACTAATTACTTAATTTGTTTTATACATTATCATTTTTACCATTTCTGCAGTGCCAGGGCCCTGACTTGCACAATGAGACGCACAAGCACGTTTTTATGTGCTCAGGAAACATGAATTTCATGGTTCACATGTAACATAAGTTCATTTGGACCAAGGACTAATTTCAATTCACATAAGATTGGAAGTTTGAAGTGATAGGAGCAATATAATATTATATCTGTAACTAATTTTTTATCCTTGATATCATGAGCAAAGAGCCATGTGCATTTGGTTTGAGGCAAACCTTCGAGTGCCTCCAAGATATGGTCAGTTGTGCATTTCCTAGAAGTTTCATGGGCTTGTTAATGTTCTTTTCTAAATGCTTTTTAATTCACCATTAAACTTGAGATCAACGATTGAAGATATAGAGAACTGATAGTCACGCTTTGAAGAACGGCCATGCTAAATTGTGGGCATATTTGATCTGCCAAAGTTTGATGAATTTAATCCCATTTAAGTTGATTCTCATAGGGTCAACCAAATTAATTATATTTGGAATTATTAAAGCGCAAAGGGCAGTGCACAAGGCCTTGTTTTTGCTTCAAAGCGCAATGCGCAGAGCGAAATGACGCTTTTATTAATCAAAATGTTAATAGGCTATATAAAATTTTTTAATATATATGAATACATTTATTAATAATTATAAAATATAAAGTATGACTTCAAATTTAATATAAAATAGTAAAGAATGTGGTACAATACTTTAAAGCAAACATTAAGTGTGAGCTTGCAAATTAAAATTTCGAACAATTGCTAATAGTTTGCTGCAATAACTAAAAACCTAAAATTGCCCCAAAAAAAGACCTGTAAATTAACATTAGCATTTCAAAGCACACTTCAATGAAGCAAAGTAGGTGTTATCACTTTGCTTTACTTTTCTCGTGATAGGCACTTCTAAAAGTATTGTGTGGATTAAGGTCTATATTTGCTCAAGAAAAGTATGATCCGTGTCATCTCTCCAAGGTTGCTTTTGGTGTTAGGGACAGATCAGGTCGCCTACGAGCTGAGTGTGTCTCTATTAATCTAAGGCTATATTTGACAAGTCGATGCACTTGTTCAATCTATTGAAGCGTAGCAAATTTCGTGGTTAAAGCTCCTTTGTTTCTTTTAGAGATCAACGGGTCATACACCTTTTACCTACTTTAAACACTGCAAACAAATAATACATTTCAATGAGTTTTTATTTGCATATTTGCATGTATCTAAGGCTTTATTTGCATATTTGCAAGGGGAGATGCACAAGACATATTTGCAAGGGGATGCACAAGAGTGCAAATTATAGAGGAAATAAGTTGATGCGTCATAATTTAAAATTATGGGAGAGGGTAATTGAACATTGGTTAAGACGTTTTACAAATATTTCTCATAATCAATTTGGTTTTATGCTGGGCAGGTCTACCATGGAAGCTATACATTTATTGAGAGGTTTGATGGAGAAGTTCAGAGATAATAAGGAGGATATATATATGATTTTTATTGCTTTAGAAAAAGCTTATGATAAAATTCCAAGAGATATCCTTTTGGGAGTTCTTGAGAATAAAGGTGTTGATATGACTTATATTTAAGTCATTAAAAATATGTATAGAAGAGCTGTTACTTGTGTTCGAATAGAAGGAGGATTGACCAAATATTTTTCTATTTCTGTTGGTTTACATGAGGGATCGGTTTTAAGCCCATATCTTTTTCTTTAGTTATGGATGGTCTAACGGGACACTTATTGGAGGATGTACCTTGTTGCATGATTTTTGCTGATGATATCCTTTTGGTGGATAAGACGAGAGAAAAAGCTCAGGAAAAACTTAAATTATTGAGGTCTACCTTGGAGTCTAAAGGCCTTCGTTTGAGTAGAACTAAAATTGAATACATGGAATGTAATTTTAGTAGTAGTAGCTCTAGTGACAAAAATGTAACTATGGGTAATCAAATTATTAAAAGTTGTGAAAGCTTTAGATATCTCGGGTCTATTATTCAAAGTGACGGTGATATTGTGGGGATGTTATTAGTAGAATTCAAGTTGGTTGGTTGAAGTGGAGGAATACTTCGGGCCTATTGTGTGATAGATAAGTACCTCTTGGACTGAAAGGAAAATTTTATATGATGGTGGTGCTCTATGGCGTTGAATGTTGGCCTATAAAAAAGAAGCATAAAATTAAGTTAGGTGTTGCCGAGATGAGAACGATTAGGTGGATGAGTGGCTTTACACTTAGAGACAAAATGCGAAATGAACATATCCGTGATAGGATTGTTGTAGCTCCAGTTAAGGGCAAAATTAGAGAGTCATTTTAGATGGCTTGGTCACATTAAACATCGACCATCTGAGGATCCGATTAGAAGATTGGATGTTTTAGATTTGACTTATGTTAAGAAAGACAGAAGTAGAACTAGGGAGACTTGGGCAGATTGTATAAAAAATGATCTTAATTTATTAGAAATAAATGAAAGTATGACACTGAATAGGACCCAATGGAGAAAAAGGATTCATGTAGCTGACCCCACTTAGTGGAATTAAAGGTTTTGTTGCAGTTGTTGTTGTTGTATATTTGCATGTATCTGCATTTTTTCTCAAAGCCAGCTTGTTCCATGATCTGACTTGTAAATTGAAGGATACGAAGTTTTTGGTTTCTTTTTTCCATCTTTTTTACCTGCAACCTGGATACGATGATATAAAATTTGATTGTACTGTGCCATTTTTGCATGTATAATTGCACCCTCTTGACACCAATTACTGAAAAAACGTATCCCCATTTTTTATTTATTCTTTAAGTGTTATCATCCAATCATATGTTTCAAGTTTACCGGAACAATAAAAAGTAATATATAGAACAAACCAAGTAACGAACATAATAAGTTTGCTTCCTACTTGCTGTATGAGAAATTGCCGACCAGTACCAATTATCATTTCCTTCTTTTATTTGTTCTTTAGATATTATAATGCGTTTGAAAAGCTTGTTTAGATATATTGTTTAGTATCAAGTTTCATAATTTAGGATGTGTAACTAAGCAAATTTTTATTCCGCTGCAGACTAGGCAATCAGACGGGCCCTGGCATTTTGCGATGCCAATTGAGCTCTTTCTTCAGTAGAATGCAACGTCATTGTGCCTTTTTTTGGGTTCAGTTGGGAAATTATATATTTATATTGTCTAACCTATAGCTAACCTGATTTTTCTTCCAACATAGGATGCTACAGTGGAGCAGTTTTTGGTTTCTTTTTTGTTTTTGCTGGAAGCCTGGAATGTGAAATTCTTTCATTTCTTTCATCTTTGCATTCTTTTCTGTGGAATCAGTCGCAGCTTAGACTGGAGTTTGATTCAAAATTTAGCCTTCGTATAGAAGAAATGTTCCTGAAAGGAGGTACTTGTTTACAAATAAATTGATCTTTGTTAGTAAGATCTGCTTAGAATGTTCTAGTTGTCTTTAAGAGTGGTTGTCAATTTATTCTCTGAGATTAAGCTTCACTGTGCACTTACCTGCTCCATAATATTTGAGGTTGGAGTTCTCTAGTTTGGATCGTGCGTATTACATATCTTATTTCCCTTTTAAAATTGGTGTTTTGTGAAAGGCTTGCCAATCTTTAAATTCAGCATAGTAACTATTGGGAACCTAAATTATTTTCATATTTAACTCTGCCAGACAAGTTACGAGTGCCGGAAAAAAAGGCGAATTCTTTTTCGGATGTTTTTTTGCAAGCTTTATTATTTAAAATTATATTTATTATGTTTTAAAGTCATATATATATATATATATATATATA